TTTTGTCATGAAAGCAATCAAAATCATATCTATTTCTGTAATATATCTTCCATTCTCTCAAATGAGACCAAAATAACGAGAATACAACCATAAAAACCATACGAAAATACCGCTAAGGGGTGGCTAATTGCTGAGAAGTGAACTCCATTATTTATGCTCCAATTTCTTTCATTTTTGGTGTACGTTAAGAAGCATCTTTCCATTATACATTGCCCAATTTTCAATAAGATAGTCCAACAAAAAAATGAGGTAAAATTCCCTTGATCAAGAACAAGAGCTCCTCACCAGCGTCAAGGAACTTGTCTTGAGGTCTGCTCGCTTATGGAAATTTTGGTCGCATATAGAAGCAAAAAATCGACCCATCGACTGCTCGTATTTGGAAAAACTTGCACGTGGATGTGCTCGCAAGTAGAGGTTCCACTGTACTATATAATAATAAAATAAATAATATATAATGTAATACGTAATAGTACAATAATAATTATAAGAATAATAGTACATGTATGTACGGACTGGGTATAATTTAGTTTGGCAACACCACCACCAGATAGCAGTGTCAATCAAAACAGTGGTCACCAGTGCACGTGTTTACTGAGCTACCCTCGCAGTGCAAGGAATTCTCGTGTCCCTTACATTTTGTGCAGTTACTTTGCCAGATTTCTTTCTTCTGACCGTGGGTCCTAAGAAAGCAAGTGCAATGGACAGTGCCGAGAAGAAAAAGAGGATGATTTGCATGGAATTATAGCAAGAAATGATTAATAAGCACAGACTAGGTACGAAGGTTGAGGACTTAGTAAGTTGAGTACAAGCATAACCCCTCTACTATATGTACAATACTAAAGCAGGAGTCTATAAAGGCTATAGTGCCAGAAAAGGGCATTACAGTAATTTCTATGCAGTGGACCTCTGTCACTGAAAAGATGGAAAAGCTGCTGTTGACATGGTTGATGGAGAAACAGCTCACAGGAGATACATAGTGTAGTGAGATAAACATAAAAATTGTACATAGCAGTTTTTAAGAAAAGTGTGAACTCCTGACAGGATATACTGCTCTGCATTTCTTCTCCAAGGTATTTAAATGTTGTATGTACGCCAGATCTAATTCAGCCTCACAAACTTCGTTTTCTCTTATAACACCTCTGACGTTTTCATAGCAAGAATGTGCGACCACTCCCGACCACAATCCTCCTCCCTTCGCCGTCCATGTAATGACATACTATTTTATTCATTCTAGAGTGTATATCAGGTTTCTATGTTATTTATATTGTTTATTATGTCATATTAGATGAATTGTGATAGATAAATAAGCTGTAGAGTTGATATTAGGGTTATTTTGTCATGCTTCCTGAGAGCAGGAATTCAGCTGGAACGAATTAATTGCATTTCAGTTAATTTAAATAAGGAAAATTGACCCAGCATACGAATAAATCAGGATACGAACAAGTCCACGGAACGGATTAAATTCGTAACCCGAGGTTCCACTGTACAGTGGACCCCCGCATAACGTTGGCATCGCATAGCGATAAATCCGCATAGTGATACATTTTATCGCTAAAATTTTGCCTCGCATAGCGCTAAAAAATTTGCTCAACGTGATTCGTCTGAGATGCGTCCATGTGACCTGAGCCAGCCTCACTTGTTCTGCCTATGGTATTGTTTACAAGCCAGCCTCCGCGGTCACATCCAAGCATACAATCGGAACATTTCGTTTTATTACAGCATTTTTATAGTGATTTCACCTGAAAAATAAGTGACCATGGGCCTCAAGAAAGCTTCTAGTGCCAACCTTACAGGAATAAGGGTGAGAATTACTATGGAGATGAAGAAAGAGATCATTGCTAAGTATGAAAGTGGAGTGCGTGTCTCCGAGCTGGCCAGGTTGTATAGTAAACCCCAATCAACCATCGCTACTATTGTATCCAAGAGAACGGCAATCAAGGAAGCTGTTCTTGCCAAAGGTTTGACTGTGCTTTCGAAACAGAGATCGCAAGTGATAGAAGATGTTGAGAGACTGTTATTGGTGTGGATAAACGAAAAACAGATAGCAGGCGATAGCATCTCTCAAGCAATCATAAGTGAAAAGGCTAGGAAGTTGCACAAGGATTTAATTAGAAAAATGCCTGCAACTAGTGGTGATGTGAGTGAATTTAAGGCCAGCAAAGGTTGGTTTGAGAGATTTAAGAGGCGTAGTGGCATACATAGTGTGATAAGGCATGGTGAGGCTGCCAGTTCGGACCACAAAGCAGCTGAAAAATATGTACATAGACAGTGAAGGACTGAAACCTGAACAAGTGTTTAATTGTGATGAAACAGGCCTGTTTTGGAAGAAAATGCCAAGCAGGACTTACATTACTGAGGAGGAAAAGGCACTCCCAGGACATAAGCCTATGAAAGACAGGCTTACTCTTCTCATGTGTGCCAATGCTAGTGGTGATTGCAAAGTGAAGCCTTTGTTAGTGTATCACTCTGAAACTCCCAGAGCATTCAGGCAAAAGAATATCCTCGAGGCTAATTTGTGTGTGCTGTGGAGGGTAAACAATAAGGCATGGGTCACTAGGGACTTTTTCTATGACTGGTTACACCATGCATTTGCCCCCACTGTGAAAAATTACCTAATTGAAAAGAAATTAGACCTTAAGTGCCTCCTGGTGTTAGACAATGCCCCTGGTCATCCTACAGACTTGGCAGAGTGACTTTGTGGGGACATGAGCTTCATTAAGGTCAAGTTTTTGCCTCCTAATACCACTCCTCTCCTGCAGCCCATGGACCAGCAGGTTATTGCAAACTTCAAAAAATTGTACACAAAAGCTCTGTTTGAAAGGTGCTTTGTAGTGACCTCAGAAACTCAATTGACTCTAAGAGAGTTTTGGAGAGATCACTTTAATATCCTCAACTGTGTAAACCTTATAGGTAAGGCTTGGGAGGGAGTGACTAAGAGGACCTTGAACTCTGCTTGGAAGAAACTCTGGCCAGAATGTGTAGACCAAAGGGATTTTGAAGGATTTGAGGCTAACCCTGAGAGGAGTATGCTAGTTGAAGAATCAAGAATCAATTGTGGCATTGGGGAAGTCCTTTGGGTTGGAGGTTAGTGGGGAGGATGTGGAAGAGTTGGTGGAGGAGGACAATGAAGAACTAACCACTGATGAGCTGCTAGATCAACTTCAACAGCAAGAGGCCACACCTGAGGAAATTGCTTCGGAGGAGGGGAGAGAGAAATTGAAGAAGTTGCCTACTTCAAAAATTAAGGAAATCTGTGCAAAGTGGCTTGAAGTGCAAACCTTCATGGATGAAAATCACCCTCAGACAGCTATTGCAAGCCGTGCTGGTGACTATTACACTGACACTGTTGTGAAACACTTTAGGAAAGCCATAAAGGAATGAGAGGTACAGGCCACTATGGACAGATATGTTGTGTGACAGAAGTCCAGTGACTCTGAAGCTGGTCCTAGTGGCATTAAAAGAAGAAGGGAAGCAACCCCGGAAAAGGACTTGACACCTCAAATCCTAATGGAAGGGGATTCCCCTTCTAAACACTAAAACCATCCAGTCTCCCCTCCTCCCATCCCATCAATCATCACCACATCTTCAATAAAGGTAAGTGTCATGTAACTGTGCATGTTTTCTTATGTTTGTGTGTATTAAAATTAATATTTCATGTGGTAATTTTTTTTTTTCATACATTTGGGTGTCTTGCACGAATTAATTTGATTTCCATTATTTCTTATGGGGAAAATTAATTCACATAACGATAATTTCGCATAACATTGAGCTCTCAGGAACGGATTAATAGCGTTATGCGGGGGTCCACTGTATTTATTTACTTTTATACTTACACTTTTTGTATTTACACTTACCTTGGAGGAGATGTTAGTTTTAATTAGTTTGATGGAGGAGATGCTGGCAGAGGTTTAGGGTGGTGGAAGATAGCAGGGCGGCGTATGTTCATTGGCCCTATACACATCCAACAACATGGGAGCATTACTTTTATGTCGTTTTTCTATCTCTTACTCACTTAACTTACTTGCTACACTGTTAATTCTACACTTTATTGCTGGCTGGCACTATAGCCTTTATCAATACCTGCTGCTTTAGTATCGTACATATCGTAAAATCACTGAATCACTGCAGAAGGCACATTCTCCCCTCTCTCTTCCTCCTCCACTTTGGTACTTTGCTATGAGTTTTTTCTTGAATTTTATTGTGTTTCTTTCCTTCTTTACCACAGGGCTGGCACTAGAAGCTTTCTTTGAGCCCACGGTGGCTTATTTAGCAGTTACTAGCACTAAAAACAGCGGAATAATACAAAATATGTCGCCTTTACGCGTGGAATTGTCCTCCCTGGCTTGTAAACAGTGGCACACTAGCTGTACATGGAGTGACCGGGCCAACTTAGGGCACGCAGACATGCTCGGGACAGATGTCCTTAACCGAGTTTTTTCCAGTAACTGAGTCAGTATTTTGACGTAAAAATGTGTCGCTAGCCGATTTTTTTGTTATTTGATGACATCGTTACCCGAGGGTCCACTTTACAGGCTTCCGTTTTACACTTACTGTACTTGGCAGTATGGCAGTACCTCCCTGGGCAGTTGCAGTCTACCAATCTACTTCCCTATATTGTTATTAGAACTAAATATAGAGGAGCGAATGAAGGAACTGATTTGTAGATAGTCATTTTTGTATTTGCAAGGCTTTGAAGGGATTTGAGATAGAGCTTGCCACAGCTGCACTTTTGTCACAGTAGGACCTATGCTTGCCTTTTTTTTTTTTTTAGGCTATAAAAATTTACCTACTGGTAGTTGGTGGAATGTCATTAGGCTGGCTTGGTACCTTATGTGGTTAGTGCATTGACCTGCTAATTTAAGGCTGGCTTTCCATGGGTTTAAATCCCATCCTAGAATTTCTATGATAAGGCTAACTACATATGTGTGTTCTTTTGTATTGATATCTGTTAGGAGTTCATTTCGTCATGGCAGCACATTTACTATATTATTCTGGTGCAGGTGCAGAGAGACATGCCAGAGGGTCACCGACCATCCGTCTTGTGTATAGAGGATCCCCTCATACCTGGCAATGATATTGGACGATCCTCATATGGAGTCTTGCAAGTTAAACAAGCATTTGAGTATGCATACATTGTTTTATCTCAGGTAATATTTCAAATTTTTATATTTGGAATATTAAGTTTCAAGTCCAGGTGAATAATTTTGAAATGTGGTCACTATTTTCAAGTTATCAGACTTTTGAGAAGGTAGCTCATAAAAATGCTGAGAGTCAGGGAGGGACTGTAAGTAGAAGTAACAGAGTTATACTTACAGGCTGTGAACCCTCTAAACAACATCATTAATGATCCAAACCACTACTCTATACTCGGCCGCATCTTGAGGATAACAGACGATGTCATTTTGTATCGGCATTGGATTCGAAAATCTTTTCCCGTCACTGGATCTCTGGCCTCCAGCACCACCCATCACCTGACCCCAACACACCCGGCCACACCGCCCACTCCGCCAGCTGCGTTTCACACTCCAAATCATCTTCAGGTATGCTGTCAAACATGATTAAAGTTTAATGCTGGTTCTGTACAGGATACAGTAGATTGCCAATTAGAGTGCACTCACTTTGTGAGAGATTGTCTTAATGCTGTTGAAAAGTGTAACTAAAAGGTCAGTGAAAAGAGTTGCTATTATTCTCTATAAATTAAAAAAAAATTATTCACTACAAAAGTGTGTGAAATTTGTGTAGTTCCCTTCATAGATTTTCTCAGATCTGGTCACTGGGCCATGAGCAGTGTACTCCCCACCCTCTTCCAGACATGAGCAGTGTACTCCCCACCCTCTTCCCAGACATGAGCAGTGTCCACCTCTCCCAGCATGGGTGACACCACCTCTCCCAGACATGAGCAGTGTACTCCCCACCCTCTCCAGACATGAGCAGTGTACTCTCCACCCTCTCCAGACATGAGCAGTGTACTCCCCACCCTCTTCCAGACATGAGCAGTGTACTCCCCACCCTCTTCCAGACATGAGCAGTGTACTCCCCACCCTCTCCCAGACATGAGCAGTGTACTCCCACCCTCTCCAGACATGAGCAGTGTACTCTCCACCCTCTCCTAGACATGAGCAGTGTACTCCCCACCCTCTCCCAGACATGAGCAGTGTACTCCCCACCCTCTTCCAGACATGAGCAGTGTACTCCCCACCCTCTCCCAGACATGAGCAGTGTACTCCCCACCCTCTCCCAGACATGAGCAGTGTACTCTCCACCCTCTCCCAGACATGAGCAGTGTACTCCCCACCCTCTCCCAGACATGAGCAGTGTACTCTCCACCCTCTCCTAGACATGAGCAGTGTACTCCCCACCCTCTCCCAGACATGAGCAGTGTACTCCCCACCCTCTCCCAGACATGAGCAGTGTACTCCCCACCCTCTCCCAGACATGAGCAGTGTACTCTCCACCCTCTCCCAGACATGAGCAGTGTACTCCCACCCTCTCCAGACATGAGCAGTGTACTCTCCACCCTCTCCCAGACATGAGCAGTGTACTCTCCACCCTCTCCCAGACATGAGCAGTGTACTCTCCACCCTCTCCTAGACATGAGCAGTGTACTCCCCACCCTCTCCCAGACATGAGCAGTGTAACCCTCCCCCACCCACCTCTCCCAGACATGAGCAGTGTACTCCCCACCCTCTCCCAGACATGAGCAGTGTACTCCCCACCCTCTCCCAGACATGAGCATGACATACTGCTTCTCCACCCTCTCCCAAATGACTCATGATACATGCTTTCTTAACTTGCTGAGCAAATTAGGCCCTCTAGATGGCATTATTCTTATCTAGCTAATTTTTTTCCCAAAAAACTATGATGTATATATGCTTAATTTATGTAATACACCTGTATTAAAGTTTGAAGGGAATATTCAGTGCATTGACCCTTTAACTGTGGGAGACCCTGGAAAATAAAATTTGTGGGTGTGGGAAGATTTTGAAAAATAAAGAAAAACGTTTTTTTCTTACAGATCGATAGTTTATTTTTCTGAATGGAATAAGACTAAAATGAGTGAAATCTGATAAAAACATGTTTTTATAGTATGTTGAAGTTGGTGAAAAAATGTTAGTCAATCAGCAACAGTGGCATTAAAGCACAGCAATGTTTATATTTTACAATTATTGACATTATGATTGTTTTTCTATTTACTTTAAACTGCTTTTAATGTTTAACATTATATATACTAGTTTTTTTTATAATATTAGATGTGTGTTCAAGGTGTTTTAGCACTTCAGACATTGCTTCACTTGGAATTATTAGTATATATATGGTATGACTTAGTTTTTATTTATTTTTTTTATTTTGGTCTTCTAAGACTATATACAAGTAATACTTAATAACATTACAATTGTTTCCCAGTGTAATACTCCTTAAAACATGGAAATAAGTAATATTGATTGACTTTACTGGGTTATATTTATGGTATAGTATATACTTTTATTATTATATTTTTTCTGCTATTTTGGTCTTCTAAGGCTAGGTATAATGAATACTTATTTTAGAGTATAATATTCATCAAAGCATGGACATTGTCTACATTGACTTTATTGGGTTATCCTGGGTTATGTACCTAGTGTGATTTGTGGCTGACTTCCACTGTTAATATCATGAAATTGTAATAAATTTCGACAGAATAAGTCATCTTTGAACCACTTGCACACACTGTTTGCTGGTAGGAAAGCTGGTGGTGGAACAGCAGCTCCTGGTTCCTTCATTTACTGTTGCTGGTGAGGCATACTAGTATGCTGGACATAGTCATCCCAAGTAGTTAACCATGATATGTAGTGTGGACCCTGCTGGCCTTAAAATTTTTTCAAATGTATGAATAGGTAGAAGAGGACCTAAAGAGTTATCCTGAAGTAAAAAGTATTGGCAGGTGGCAGATTTGTGGGAACAAAAAATAGTGCATACTAGTATGTTGGGCACAGTACCACCACCTGTGTACTAGTACATTAGACACAGTTAAAGCATTAAAAGGAAGACTTTGATTCTGATTATTTACTCGGAATTTTATTTCATGGGGAAGGATGGTAACCTCATAGGGGGCATACTGTGCCTTGGGTAATGGGAGGCAGTCAGATTTCATCTAAGGAAAGAAAGCTAGCTCTATTTCCTTGGATCAAGAGCCCTTCACTGGCATCAAGGCATCTTTTGAAAGGTATTAACTCTGAAAGCTTGTAGCCCAGTATAGTAAATAATCATAATTATACTGTAGTTATAAATTCCTGTGCCTTATTTCTGTATTTCTACCATTGTTGAACATGTTAGTGATTGATAATAGAATAATTATGTGTTCAAAGGAGAAAGTTGGAGTGGAGATACAGTATGTATTCACTGAGGTGTAACAATGATTCCCTCACCACCCAAACATCACACCCTGCTATGTAAGGCAGTGCAATATTTATTATGCTAATAAAGTATAGAAAGATGAATGGGAAGGTCTTCTGCCAGCTGGTGTTCCTTTTACACCAGCATATTATCAACGTGGGGAAGTGGAATAAGAATCTTTCCTCTGTAAGCCATGCATGTTGTAAAGGTCAATTAAAATGCTGGGAGCAATGGCCTAGTAACCCCTTTTCCCATATAGCTTACTAAAAAGAAAAAGAAGAAAACTGTCAAAGTGGGATGTTTGAGTGTGCGTGGATGTTGTGCGAATGATAAGAAAGAGATGATTGTGGATGTTATGAATGAGAAAAAGCTGGATGTCCTGGCTTTAAGTGAAACAAAGCTGAAGGGAGTGGGAGAGTTTCAGTGGGGAGAAATAAATGGGATTAGGTCAGGGGTTTCATATTTGTTAGAACTAAAGAAGGAGTAGCAATAACTGTTGAAGGATAAGTTATGGCAGGAAATGAGGGAATATAAATGTATTAATTCAAAGATTATGTGGAGTAAAATAAGGGTTGGATGTGAAAAGTGGGTTATAGTAAGCATTTATGCAACTGGAGAAGAGAGAAGTGTAGAGGAGAGAGAGAGATTTTGGGAAATGTTGAGTAAGTGCATGGGGAATTTTGAATAAAGTGTGAGAGTACTTGTTGTTGGGGATTTCAATGCTAAAGTAGGTAAAAATGTTGTGGAGGGAGTAGTAGGTAAATTTGGGGTGCCAGGGGTAAATGACAATGGGGAGCCTTTAATTGAGCTATGTGTAGAAAGAGGTTTGGTAATAAGTAATTCATATTTTATGAAAAAGAGGATAAATAAGTATACAAGGTATGATATAGCATGTAATAAAGTAGTTTGTTAGAATATGTATTGGTGGATAAAAGGTTGATTGGTAGGCTCCAGGATGTACATGTTTATAGAGGGGCAACTGATATATCGGATCATTATTTAGCTGTAGCTACAGTTAGAGTAAGAGGTAGATGGGACAAAAGGAAAAGGGCAACAGAATGTAAGGGAGAGGTGAAAGTTTATGAACTAAGGGAGGAGGAAGTTAGGGTGAGATATAAGCAACTATTGACAGAAAGGTTGGCTAGTGCAAGTATGAGTAGTTGGGGGGTTGTGTTACAGAGGGATGAGATAGTTTTAAAAATGCAGTATTAGAATGTGGGGCAGAAGTTTGTGGCTATAGGAGGGTGTCAAGAAATTTTGCTGAGAATAGGAAAAGTTTTTGGAGCGAGATAAACAAGAAAGCCTAAGAAACAAATGGATTTGTCAATTAAAAACAGAGTAGGGAGTTAGTAGATGGGAAGCTGGAGGTATTGGGTAGATGGCGGAAATATTTTGAGGAACTTTTAAATGTCAATGAAGAGAGGGGGGCGGTAATTTCATGCACTGGCCAGGGAGGTATAAAGACTTTTAGGAGTGAAGAAGAGCAGGATGTGAGTGTGGAGGAGGTGCATGAGGCATTAAAAGAATGAAAGGGAATAAAGCAGCTGGAACTGATGGGATCAAGACAAAAATTTTACAAGCAAAGGGAGATATAGTGTTGGAGTGGTTTGTGTTTTTATTTAACAAATGTATGAAAAAGGGGAAGATTCCTAGGGATTGGCAGAGAGCATGTATGGTTCCTTTATATAAAGGGAAAAGAGTCTTCAAGAGATTGCAGATGAGCAAGGAGGCTTTAAAGTGGGTAGGGGATGTGTAAATCAAACGTTTACACTGAAGCATGTATGTGAACAGTATTTAGATAAAGGTAGGGAAGTTTTCATTGCAATTATGGATTTAGAAAAGGCATATGATAGTGGATAAGGGAGCAATGTGGCAGATGTTGCAAGTGTATGGAATAGGTAGTAAGTTACTAAATGGTGTAAAGAGTATTTATGAGGATAGTGAGGCTCAGATTAGGGCATGTAGGGGAGAGGGAGATTACTTCCCAATAAAAGTAGGTCTTAGACAGAAATGTGTAATGTCACCATGGTTGTTTAATTTATTTATAGATGGGGTTGTAAAAGAAGTAAATGCTAGGGTGTTGGGAAGAGGGGTGGAATTAAATTATCGGGAATCAAATACAAAATGGGAGTTGACACGGTTACTTTTTGCTGATGATACTGTGTTATTGGGGGATTCTAAAGAAAAGTTTCTAAGGGTAGAGGACGAATTCGGGTAGAAAGTTGAAAGTAAGTATAGATAAGAGTAAGGTGATGAGGGTATCAAACGATTTAGATAAAGAAATAATTGGATGTTCACAATGGAGAGAGGGACTATGGAAGAAGTGAATGTTTTCAGATATTTGGGAGTTAACTTGTCAGCAAATGGGTCTATGAAGGATGAGGTTAACCATAGAATTGATGAAGGAAAAAAGTGAGTGGTGTGTTGAGGTATCTGTGGAGACAAAAGAAATGTTATCCATGGGGGCAAAGAATGGAATGTACGAAAGTATAGTGGTACCAACACTCTTATATGGATGTGAAGCACGGGTTGTAAATGCTGCAGCGAGGAGGCGGCCGGAGGCAGTCGGGATATCCTGTCTAAGGGCAATGTGTGGTGTAAATATTATGCAGAGAATTTATAGTGTGGAAATTAGGAGGAGGTGTGGAGTTACTAAAAGTATTCTTCAGAGGGCTGAAGAGGGTTTGTTGAGGTGGTTTGGTCATTTAGAATGACTTGGAGAATGTATAAATCTGTAGGGAAAGTAAGGCATGGCAGGGGTCGTCCCCAAAAAGGTTGGAGGGACAGGGTAAAGAAGGTTTTGTGGGCAAGTGGGTTGGATTTCCAGCAAGTGTGCATGAGCGTGTTAGAGAGGAGTGAATGGATACGAATTGTTTTTGGAACCTGATGAGCTGTTGGAGTGTGAGCAGGGCAATATTTTGTGAAGGATTCAAGGAAACCATTTAACTGAACTTTTGTCCTGGAAATGGAAAGTACAATGCCTGCACTTTAAAGGAGGGGTTTGGGTTATTGGCTGTTTGGAGTGACTATCTAAACTGTTGTATCTGGGTGCCTCTGTAAAGACAGTGACTATGTAAGATTGATGGTGAAAGTGTTGACTGAGAGTGAAAGTTTTTCTTTCTTTTTTGGTTTTAATTTCTTTTGGGTCACCCTGCCTGAGTTGGAGATGGCTGATGTGTTAAAAAAATAAAAAATCAACATTGTTGTAATATTTTGAGAGAGGTGAAGACATCTTATTTCCTTGTTGACTGGCTTCAGCCAGTGTGTATGGTATTACTTCCTCTTCCACTAAGCATAATATTATAAGCCCCTCATGCTAGATCATGCAAAATAAAATTATACAGACAATTTAAATATGTATTGAAGAGATTGATTTAGAAATCTGCAATCTTAGAGTATTGCTGGGAGTGAAATCCTGAGTGGGAAGCTATCTCCACAGCTCCCAGGCATAGCTCTACAAAGTGCCTTCAGCATTTCTTATTAATCATTTTCCTTTGCTTTGACTTAATGAAATGCATTAATCTTTGATATATGTTTGTTTGGTATAGATGTGGTGAGTTCCTATATGTTTAGTACAATTTAATAAGGAAATATGATTTTTATTTTTATATTATGAATATATACCGTGTGTATCAGGTAATAAAACTTGCAACATCCAACTTGGCTCAGTAGACCCACATTTACCCTCCCTATACTCTTCAGATAATTTTCAAGTAATGACTCTCCTCTAAGAAGGTGACTTGATTTATCTTACCTCCCTTAGATTGACCCTGAACACATCCCATTTCCTAGGTGCTAATGGCCCTTACAGGTTTAGCACTTTACCCAAGCTAAAATAAATTCAAGTAATGACTAACAGAATGTAAGGTAAGGTATTTGGTTCACTGTAGTAGGAATTTTTATTTTTAAGTTGTTTAGCATTTTTGAAGGTCTCTGGAACACAACCCTATTTTACCGGCATCTTCTGTATCGGTTAACCCTAAATTAGGTTAGGTCTGACTTTCAGAAGCATAATGGATTCTCAGATTGACTTTCTACTGTATCTGAAAGTTAATAGTACAGTGTTTTCACATTTAAAGTAGATTTAAGTAAATGCAACTCTGACTATGAATGAAAAGGTTATAAAGACAAAATGAGAAAAAAATCGTAAGGAGATTAAAATTGAACTTGTGTTATTTTGCATTTTGTTTTGCCCAGCAGCATATTGATAGTATTAATGAGCATGCCATATTATTAATGTTTCATTATCTGCTTCACTTCATATAATCCTCTGCATTGAGGGTACATTATTGAAAAAATGTCACTGCTCTGATCATTGATGATATGTGTTTTGCTTTTGAATATTTAAGTTCATACATTAAAGATTCATAGGCAATAAATATTTTTATACAGGTCACATCTGAAAACCAGTACAACAGCAACAAAAATAATAACAACAACAATAATAATACGCGTAATAAATCCAGTGTAGCGGATGATGACACGTTATCATCCGAAGCTTCTGAACCGCATTCCACTCCTCCCTCCTCTGTCTCGTCTGTTAGTGATGACACTGTAAGTTGAATTTGAATATTTTTTATTCTCTTCTTGCCTCATTAGCTCTTTAGATGGAAGCAATTAATAACTAATTATTTTGACTGAAATTTTTATGATCATTGCATTCCTAAAAAAATGGTGTTAAAAGCAGTTTCTTGATGAGTGAGATCAATATAGCATTATAGTTTTGGGGGTATATTTCAGGCCCTTTCACTCTCCAGTTATTGGACTTAACAACTCATTCAAGTTAAAAAAAAAAGCATATGCAAAAAAATACATCCACCGAATAGCTGTAAGTTGGTGCATGACTAGTGATTTGTGAAGTTGTACCCTAGTTAAATAAGAGAGAAGTGTTATGTAGGAATGGTTAAGTAAAAACCATTTTCTCATATTCTCATTACACAGCAGTATAATGAGAGAATTTTAAAACCCAGTTCATTTTTGCTGAAACAATACAAGTAAAGCATTACTAAAAAATGTCACATTTTTATGGAACAGCAATTTTTATAAAAAAATAAATTTAAAAAAATTTAGTTAAGCACATAAGCACTCATCAGTAATGATGACACTGATGGCAGGGTGAAAGGTGTAAAGGGTTTCGGTGTTATTGTAGAGCAAAAGGGGAGTGAAGGAAAGACTAATGGGGGAAGAGTGAAGGGGACAGTGTAAATTTAAATTTAGGTAGGGGGAAGGGCAGGATCACTCCTTCTCCTATGAGCCTTTATTTGTAGTAGAGAGCCGTACTGGGGAGGGATTTAAAATTCCAAAATTCTGTATTGGAATTAAAAAGGGGTGTTTTTGAAATTATAGTGGATGTAGGATTTAAACATCTCTTCCCAGTACAGTACTTGTTCCACTGAAACCCATTTCTTTTCCCTTTCCCTTTTAAATTACTTAAATTTTTTTTAAAAATTTTTCCAACTTGCCTGTCACCAAAATTCTCTTGATTAGCTTAGCTTGTTTTTAAAGCTTCATCATCCCCCCATTTCAGAGCAATTTTTTTTTGAGATTAACTACTCCACCCTCATTTACTTTCTGACACAAACCCGTCGCCAAAAAAAAAAACCCAAAACAACAGTAACAGCTTTAACTTTTTTCAATCTTATTAAATCAGGCCTCTCCTAATAACTACCCTTCACTCCTTTTTTAACCCCCCCTTAAATACTAAACAACCACGTGACACAACATCCCTGTCTAGGCCCACCTTTCTGACACAACAACAAACACCCCACCCCACACACACACAAACCACAACAACACCACAACCACACACACACATACACATACAACACACATACCCACACCACACACCCACACCACACACACACACAACACACACACATACACACACCATACCCCACATACACACACTACACACACATACACACACACATACACACACACTAAACACAAACACCAACAACACACACCACAACACACACAACACACCACAACACACCACACACACCACATACACACATAAAACATACACACAACACACACACACACACACCACCACAACCCCAAAACACACACACACCACCACTACCACATACACACATACACACACACACAACACACCACAAACACACACAACACACACACACACACACAACACACACACACATACACACACAACAAACACAAACACATACAACATACACACTACACACACACACACACACACAACACACACACACACCACACCACACACACACAACCACACCCCACACAGACCACACAAAACACACACAACCAACACAACACACCAAACACACCCACAAAAAACAACACACACCACACAACACACAAAACCCCAAAACACACACACCACACACAAACCCCACACACACCCACACACACAACACCACCACAAACACAAACAACACACACACACACACACACACACACACACACACACACATCACACACACACACAACACACACAACACCACACAAACACACACACAACACACACAACACACAAAAGACCACACACACACAGACACACGACACACACACACAGACACACACACACAGACACACACACACACAGACACACACAACACAGAACTCACCCACACACACACACACCCCACACACACACACACAACACACACACAAACCCCACACACACAACATACACACAACACCTACACCATACAACACACAAACACCAACACACCACACAACACAAAACAAAACCCCACACACAACACATCATGCACACACACACATACGCACATGCATGCACACACACGCACACCCCACCACCACCCCCACACCCCACCACACACACACACACCACCACACAAACCCCACCACACACACACCACACACCACCACACACACACCACACACACACCAACACACACCACACAACACCCCACACACACCACACACACACCCCACACACAAACCACAACCCCACCCAAAACCCCACACAAAACCCCCCCCACACACCCCACACACACCACACACACACCAACAACACCACACACACACCACACACACACACCACACCACACCACACACACACCACACACCACCAAAACACACACCACCACACACCCCAAAAACACACCACACACACACCAACACACACACAAAACCACCACCACCACACACACACCACACACACCCCACACACACGCACACCACAAACCCACACACCCCACACCCACATAAAAACCAACACCCCACACCACAACACCCCATACACACACCCCCACACCACACACACCCAACCACACCACACACACCCACACACACACCACCACACCCACACACACACTCACACCACCACACAAAAACACACCCCACACACACACACACACACACACACACCACACAACCCACACACACCCACACCACACACACACACACACACACACACCACCCACACAACACACACACACACATACAAACACAAAGCACACACACACACACACACAACACACATGACGTCATGCACACCCACAAAACAACCCCATGCAGCGCCACCACAACACACACACTGCAGCACACACCACACATAGGCCCTGCATGCACACACACGCACCCACAAACCCCACAACACACACACACACACACCACACAACACCACACACACACCACACACACACACACACACACCACAACCAACCACACACCACCACACACCCACAACCCCCCCCCCCCCCCCCCCCACCCACACACACACCACACACCCCCACACCCACCACACACACACCACAACACACACCCACACACCACCACACACACACCACACACACCCCCACCCCAACACCACCACACACACACCACACCACACACACACCACACAACACACCACACCACACACCCCACCACCCCACACCACACACACACCCACACACACCCCCCACACCACACACACAAACCCACACACCCACACCCCACACCAACACACACCACACACACACCAACACACCACCACACACACACACACACACACAACACACACACCACACACACAACACACCCACCACACACACACACCACACACACACAAACCACACACACCACAAAACACACACACACACACCACACAACACACACACACCACACACACCACACCCACACACACAACACACAAAACACACCCACCCCACCCCACACACACACACCACACACACACACCACACCCCCAACACCACAAACCAAACCACACACACACCACCACACACACCACACCACACACCACACACACACACAAAAAACAAACAACAACCCAAAACCAACACACACACCCCCACACACACACACACACAAAAAAACACACCACACACACACACACCCACCCCACACCACACACACACACACCCCCCACCACACACAACACCCCACACCAACCCAACACCCCCCAAAACACACACACACACCACACAACACACAACACACACACAACCCCCCACACACACCACACACACACCACACACACACACCCCACCCACACACACACACCAAACCACCCCACAAACACACAACCACACACACCCACCACCACACACACACCACACACACCCCCACCACACACCACACACACACACCCCACACACCACACCACACACACACCCACACACACACCCAAAACCCCACACACACACACCCAACACACACCCCCACACACACACACACACACCACAACACCACAACCCCCACAACCCCACACAACCCCCCACACACACACCACCACCAACACCACACCCCAACAACCACACACACCCCCTCACACCACAACACCCACACCCACACACACAACCACACCCACACACCACACACACACCCACAACACACACACCACCACACACACACACCCACACACAACCACCAACACACACACCAACAACACACACACCCCCACACAACAAACACACACACACAACACACACACCAAAACACACACCCACAACCCCAAACCAACACACACAACACACCACACAACACAAACCCACACCACACCACACACACACCAACACAACCACACACACCAAAACACACAAACACCACAACCCAACACAACCCCCACAACACACACCCAACCACCCAACCCCCCCCGCCCCCCCCCCCCCCCCCCCCCCCCCCCCCCCCCCCCCCCCCCCACACAACAAAAAAAAAAAAAAAAAAAAAAAAAAAAAAAAAAAAACACCCCCCCCCAAACCAAAGACCCAAAAAAAAAACCCCAAAAAAAAACCCCACACCAAACACACCCCACACCCCCCGCACCCCCCCAATTCTTTCCCTCCCTTTTTCCCTCCTCTCCCCCTCTTTTCCCTTTCTTTCCTTTCCCCTCCTTTTCCCCTTCTTCCTTCCTTTTCCCCTTCTCCTCCCTCCTCTCCCTCCCTTTTCTCTTTCCCTCCTTTTTTTTTAAATTTAATAATTTAAAAATTTTATATTATTTTAAATAAATTTTTAAATTATTTTTTTAAAATTTTGGGCCGTTCCCACCAGCAGGGGGCCCAAAAAAAGAAATTTCCCCAAAAAAAAATACTTCATAC